AGAGTGTAATCACCTGCATAGGATGTGATGAAGAGAAAAGGCTTTTAAACTTTAGTCTGGTATACAGAACTGCTTTTTAGTAGAGATGCACCAATCGATCGGCTGAAGATCAAAATCGGCCATTTTATAGCTTGATCGGCCATGACAAGTAAACGGCCGATCAGTCCGTTAGTTCTACCAGTCAGATTTAGAGGCACGACAGTTCACGTTGCACACACAATGGCACAGACCAAAAGCGTAGTGTGTGCAGCACGTAGCATCTCTTGTGCAACTCGAGGGAGACTCGCACTCGTGTGTACTGGGCGTGTGTTCACTCACGCGTTTTAATTGCTTGTTGTACAAAAATCACACAGAGGAGCCTACAGAAACATTCTGAAGAAGGGAAAACTACATCCAATAAATAGTATACAATGTGTGATTTACTGGCTACACTTTACATATACAGTGTATCCATTCATACTCATAACACCAAAAAAAAAAAAAAGTTTATTGGAACTGATCTAACAAACATTCTTTTATTTCTATTACCTGTTGTACCTGTTTACATGTGTATAACTACAAATGTTGCACTTAATTCTTAGTTGGAGGTTTGTTTATACTGTAGATATATATAAAAACTTGTCCTGTACCATGGAGCACTTTAATTTTTTTTTAGATGGAAAATGTAAAACTTATTTAATATTTTATTTATATTCCTGTTACATATGTATTTTTCATTTTAAAAAATGTTACAAAAATGTTTGTTTATACTGTCAGTTGAAGTTCTTACAGAGAAAGAAAATCGGAGTCGATGGGTCAGAAATTGGAAATCGGAATTTGCCAAGAAAATTGCAATTGGTGCATCTCTACTTTTTAGGAGGGGTGACTGTGCATAAGTTAAGTGCAGATTTAATCCAATGGCCCATTGTCAATTACAGTTGGTGCGATGTTTCTGCATGTCCCTTGCTTCACCAACTGAATTACACAAACAAGGCACTCCGACAATCCTGACTAACAATATTTAATCATTCTTTTCTCTGTATGACTTCTATCACTCTAGTGCTGTTTCTCTTTCTTGAGCAATCTCAGTTCTTCATATCCATTTCATTTTCTTGTCATATCTAAAAGACATGGATGGAGGCCATACTACAAAATGGAAACCAAGCTAAGCAAAAAGAACATAAGTGAAGAAGCCATGAAATTGCCTAACAACCAAAGAGGTTTGTATTTGGCTACAACAGCACAGGTTTTAAGGAACATAATAAGCTATTTTCACCTTGTTTTTTGCACTTAATTGCAATAGACTGGCACAATACCCTACTGCACAACAAGTGGACAGGAAGGGGGCAGGTAGGGCTAGAAATGATTCTGATGGATGAAGATAAAACTGAATCAGAATGAGGCCCAGAAGCAGGTAAAAATGAAGAGGCACATCATGACAGGGAAACAAAGCTCATCCAACTGGACCTCATGGTATGTTTAATGTGTATTCTCTAAAATTTTGTACAGTGCATTTCACTCAGGACAATAACGTGTGACAAGGGGTGTGACAAGATCTTGTGATATTAGAACATGACATATTTCTTGTCAAGGCAAAAGCTGTCTCAGGATATCAGTACATACTGTAACAGAACCAGAGCAGCAGCCAGCATGACAGAGTGTGACGACAAAATGACGGTACATTCACATTAATCTAGCAAAAATGCAACTCACTGCTGTGTTTTTACACATGGGGCTGCGTTGGTCCGGGGAGTGTTGTAGGCGTTGGTCAGGGGAGTGTTGTAGGCGTGTACAATACAGCCACATTGTGACGAGCTGACATGAGAGGCTTCATTTACGTTTCCAGTTTGCGGGTTTCCGTTGTGTTTTGATAAGCCATGCTGCTAACGTAGCTCACTTTACATTAGCACCAATTCTACCACCAGTGTGTCAGCATTGATAGATGAAAAACAATGTTTAACATCCAGTACTAACGATAATGCATAGCGTGTCGTTATGGTGGGTTAACTGTGTCCCAAATTCGATAGTGAATAGCAGTGAATGCTCATACTAACAAGGTAAACAAAAAGTCTTCTTCCCATGGGTGTCCACATCCTGATGATGCCACCACCTGGTGTGATGAGGGTGAAAATAGCATAGAAGGTCACAGTTTCATTTAGAAGTTGAAAGTCATGCACAGTTATAAGGTCTTTAGATCCTCATGTGAACTCATACAGGAGGGAAGCCTGTCAGTTGAGTCTGTGGAAAAGCCTTTTACTGTGTTTGCATAATGTTGTCTTTTACTGAATATGATAACTCACACTCAAAGTAGAACTGAAATGATATTCATTACAAGATGAGTAGTTAAAACATTTCAAAATGCATCTGCATTGGTTTGCATTTTCTGACTTTCAGTCAAATAAATGACTATTTCTCCACTCATATATTTCATCAGTGAAGATTTCTTAGAAATAGTGTTAAAATACCGTCTCATCTCATTCTGGTGAAGCCAATACCCTGTATCATTTCGTCTTGTGAGCAAAATGTATTGTCACACACCTTGTATAAACATTTTTTTAGTTTTTTAAACCTGATAGGGCCAACCCGTTGCCACCTTGCCATAACATCTTGCCTTCCCTTCTCCAACCTATATAAAATTTTCTAGATATATAACTGTTGCATAAAATATTTTTTTTCTCTGGGTATAGTCAACATCTGGGCTGTGGTTTAATTTAGAAAACAAGTGTTATTATGGATGACTTTTTTACACCATAACAGAATTAAAAATGTGCATGTTATACTTTCTCCTGTGACCTAAATGTTTTTCCTGCAATTGGCCATCAACCACTTTACATAAAGGCCATTTAAAAATCTATCACCAATAATGAAAATAAGTTATTTTAAAAAAATAAGTCCAGAAAGGTTTGTACTCTAGTTACTCATCTTAAGTTTCTCACTATATGAGACTGGGGTGCAAAAGAGAAAAACACAGGATATGGCAGATATTAGATATCACTTCTTCCAACACTAACAAATCAGAGGCTTCGTGAGTATGCTAAACAGTGCGACTGTGACAGCAGCAGGATACAAGCCACAATCAGCCATGCAGACTGTCCACTCTAGAAGAGTACCCAGTATGACAACTGTGAAGAAAGACTGACCTTCACAAGTCTCACACATAACAGAAAAGCCAGCTACACCAAAATCAGTTTCATAGATTCAATTCAAGAACACAACAGAGCCACTCATCATTCATTCTCTAAAGCAGCAGAATGAATTAGCAAGTTCAGTTAATTGAACAAGAAATGGTGAGCAAGATGAAAGAAAAGATTAGATATAATAAGAGAAGAGTCTGTCTGCACAATTACAGCTTTAATTTAAAGCTAGGGAGCACGCCAGAGACAGTCTGTCTGCTAGCCAATAAAATGTAAATGTTATCTTCCTGGTGGACAAACTGTAGGAACAGATTATCAGTGCTTTGGACAAAAGTGACTAGCATTTGGCTGATCTGGCCAGTATGTGTATGTATATGTGTGTGTGTGTGTGTGTGTGTGTGTGTGTGTGTGTGTGTGTGTGTGTGTGTGTGTGTGTGTGTGTGTGTGTGTGTGTGTGTGTGTGAGATGTGGAGTTAGCTCATGCACAAAGTGATGAAGGTGCTGTTACGATGGTAATACGTTTGCATGGGCACTGGGACTTGAATGAATGCCCTTTCTAGATATCCAATCCTCAGAATGTTCTCTTATGTGGAATCCTGACAGATCTGACGTAATTCAAATGTAAAGCCAATACATTAGAAGCAACACTGCAGACCATCAGCACAGCTAATGTGCACTCCCACTTTGCGGCCATGAGCCTGATTTGATTGACAAGACAATGAAGAATACTGCCACATCTGCACAGCAGCTTCAACCTACACTAATGACATATGTAAGGCAAAGCTTTCTCTTTGTAAGAACAGGCATCACCTATTGCTGTGTTTACTTGCAAGGACCTTTGGCCTTACAGTGTGGTGGAAAATAAAGGATTTATTCCAATTCTTCAAACACTGGAACCAAGATGTTAGATGTTGTTACTGACAATGCATCAAATATGATAATGGACATCAAAGCTGAATGGATTCCAAACGTTTTGTGCACATATTTAATCTTGTGTCACAGTGTGGTTTAAAGCTATCTGCTGTAGTTTGACTACTTGCAATGATTCAGAAGATTTCTGTGTTCTTCCACAGAACACCACAGCCGTGGGAGTAGTGAAGGGGAACCAGACGATGCTGGGTATTCCACAGTGCAACCTGGTAACAGCTGTTGCTGTCCAGTGGAAGAGCACATACGAGATGCTCTCCCATCTTCTTGATCAGCAGCCTGCCATCTGTGCTTCCCTCTCATCTTCTGAGGTAAGTTTATTGTAAACTTAAATTGCTACTACTAAAGTGCATTGGAAAGATCATGATACACTACATTTTTAGTTCTTTTTTTTTGATGTGCTGCTAATATGTTTACTTTTACCGAAGGTTTTGGTAAAGCTGAATTATAAAATTAATGTTTTAATATTAACTTAATGAAATCTACTTTTCTTTCTTTGTAGGTAAGTATAGGTGACTCTGGCATCTGCACTATGACTAAGATGGAAATCTCAAATGCTAAAGACACTGTGCAAGCCCTTAAGGCAGTGCTGGTGTCAACAAATTTAAGTGCAAGGAGAAAAACTGCAAAGTTTCTGTTATTCCACTTCATATCCAACTTGAGTGATACAAGCAGCACCACTACAGACTCTCTTCTTGTCACAGGCATAAAGAACACCATCCATCAAGACCTTCCAAAGAGCTATAACACTATAAAAAAAAGCAACCTTTGAATCTCCTCAGCCAGGGACCCCAGGTTTCAGTCTCTACCGCTCCTATCATTAGAAGACGTGCATAAGAGAAAGTGGTCAAAGGTGGCTGCTCCTCAGGCAGGTTCATAATTACAAGGTCACCTAAATGCTCAGAGTTTAATATTAAAAAAATAAATAAGTAAATAAAATTAGACCATTATGCATTTCATTCATGCTATCCAAGTTCTTTTTTAAGTAATAAAAACACTGATACACTAATCCCTGTGTGTCCCAAAAAAAAAAAATCTACCTCTATAAAAATTATAGAAGGGAAAGAAAAGAAACATGATGACCTGAAGCATAAAACCTCATCTGACAAACATGGTGTTGATTTTGTTATTGCCTGAGCATGTATGGCTGCCAATGGAGCTAGCACATTTCCATTTATTTCATTTCAATACAGAAGCAACAGGATGAATGCAGGAGCAATCATGTGTTCATATCCAGTGAAATACAACAAATAGGACAGAAGATAGAGCTCAGAGGGGGAAGATTAAGAGAAGGTAAAGAAAGTAAAGTGTTGAGGTAAGGGTAGCAGGAGAGGAGAGAAGATGCAAAAAAAAAAAAAAACCCACTCCAAACAAAGAAAGTGTGGATGAGACCCAGACTGGCCATCCCATGGAGCTACATACAGTAGCAGATGGTTCAACTAAGTCATAATGTTCACTTTTATGAGCAGCCTGAGCATAGACAGGACAAAAACGGAAATGCTCATTGATTTATCTGCACTGTTTCTTTTGGCATCAGCTTGTTATGTGTAGACAACCATCTAGCTACCATTAGCTTCCCTACAGGAACAGACCGAATAAAGTAGATGATAGGGCACCTGTGGTTCAGTGGGTAGAGTGGTCATCTCCCAAGCAGTGGGTTGGAGGTTTGAATCACAGTGCCTGCAGTCCACATGTCAAAGTGTCCTTGGGCAAGACACAGAAACCCCCAAGTTGCCCACGAAGGTTAGAGCCATTGGTGTGACTGGGCGCCGCAGATGGCTGCCTCAGTTCTGTACCAGAAACAAATTCCTTGTGTGTGTGTGTAATAAAGGGGATTATTATTATCTTATTAATAATGTACTCTATTGTATCTAATCTAGAGGCTCTTCAAATGCCTAATAAATACATTAATTCCAAGTGCAACAAGTGATACAATAAAATAATGTGGAAAAAAAAATGTTTCAGTCAAAAAAACCATCATCAAGCACAACTTACAGACCTTGTAATTCTACAGACTGATAGACAATTTCACTACAGCAAAGAAAAATCAGGACAATGTGGACACAAGGTCTGATCACACAACCTCGATGAAGACAACACTTATGAATATTTGCAGAATGCTTGACAGGTAGAGAGGTTTTACAAAGCAAATTTAAAATGTCTGCTGAATTGATTGAAGTGAATGACATCCAAGGACTAATGGCAGCACCAATTACCCACAAGCTTATCATTATTTCGATTATGCCTAATCAGAATTGCCACCTATTCAAGATTCACTCTCGCTAGTCTGAAAAGGCAAGGCCTGTAAAATTAGCTGTGGTAAACTCTCTTAAAACGGGTCAAGATCTGAATGCACCACACTGCACTCTCTTAACCTTTTGTCATCTCAACACAAATTCCCAAATGAATTTCCATTTATTTGTTGGTTGTGTTTGCTGTCAGTGGAGATTAGGCTCATAAATATGCATCTATGGACAGGTGGTGAGCCACAGGCCAATCAAATGTCAAATCCCTTTGGAATTTTCTCACATAGTGTTGACCATTTCATGCTTAAGTGTGGTAACCCATTTCACACATAATCATACATGAGGTTGGGGGGACCGATGCATGTCTGTGAGCATATATACCCATTTAACAAAGGCAAACCACTCAGGCCAAATACAACACCAGCTATTCACAAGCTCCAGTGACTCAAATCTACCATCTTTCATTTATCACTGTGATGAAGAGTTAATAAAAAAAGAGATCATCTATGAGACACACTTGACAGAATGAGAGAAAGAAAGGGAAAATCAGGAAAGTTTAAAAAGCCATCATGTGCAATACATATTGACACAGCATTCAATAATCCCCCTATCCAACTCAATACATGTGCTTATGTTGCAAACAGCCTTAAAAGCTCCATCTTAAATCTTTATGACCAGTGAGCTCATAAACCTCACCACAAATACATTTCTCTAGGGAGGCTCACTGGCAGCTCGAACACAGGCTTTATTAAGAGGCATCCAAACCCATGAGCTTGAAAGGAGGAAGCGGTGAAAAACTAAAATATAAGTATTGTAAAATTTCATTAAAGTTCCACTCCAGAGGCATTTTAATATTTATATTTGCATATAAAAATACTCTGTTATAAGCAATATATAGTATAATACAGTTTTCCCTAAAAAAAAAGTTCAGTGAACCTCTGTAATAGGCCTCAACACTTGCCCCTCACTGCACATTCCAGGATCTATGAATATTCAACTGTACCTACAGCACCCCCAACCCCCCACCACAGCTTCTCCCACCTAGACCAGTGAACTTGCTGTATCAGGATGAGATGCAGGAGTGGAAACTTAAGAGATTTAGCAGTTTATGTCAGAGCCTCATTTACCCATTATATAGCAATACTGTATAAAAGAGAAGTCAATCATGCAAATGTATTTACAGTCTGGCTGAGAGTTTGACAGTATGTGTTTTTCTTAGTTGGACCAAAATGTAATCTAGTAACAGATATCGGTGAGACTGGATTATTAGCATGCAATTTTACTATTACAGTGCTTTGCAAAAGTATTCATACCCCTTTTCCACATTTTGTCATGTTACTATCACAGACTTTAATGTATTTTATGTGATAGACCAACACAAAGTACCACATAATTGTGAAGTGGAAGGAAAATGATACGTGATGTTCAGGATTTTTTACAAATAAAAATCTGAAAAGTGTGGCATATATATGTATTTAGCCCCCTTTACTCTGATATCCCTAAATAAAATCCAGTGCAACCAATTGCCTTTAGAAGTCACCTAATTAGTAAATAGAGTCCACCTGGTTGTACTTCAATCTCAGTATAAATACAACTGTTCTGTGATGGCCTCAGAGGTTTGTTAGAGATCATTAGTGAACTAACAGCATCATGAAGACTAAGGAACAGAGCAGACAGACCAGGGATAAAGTTGTAGAGAAGTTTAAAGCAGGGTTAGATTATAAAAACATATCCCAAGCTTTGAACATCTCACGGAGCACTGTTCAATCCATCATCCGAAAATGGAAAGCTTATGGCACAACTGCAAACCTACCAAGACACGTCCACCTAAACTGACAGGCCGGGCAAGGAGAGCATTAATCAGAGGAGCAGCCAAGAGGCCCATGGTAAAACTGGATGAGCTGCAGAGATCCACAGCTCATGTGGGAAAATCTGTCCACAGGACGACTATTAGTCATGCACTCCACAAATCTGGCTTTTATGGAAGAGTGGCAAGAAGAAAGCCATTGTTGAAAGAATTCAATAAGAAGTCCCGTTTGCAGTTTGCCACAAGCTATGTAAGAGACACAGCAAACAAAGTGGTTTGACAAAGTATTGACTCAGGGGGCTGCATACATATGCATGCCACACTTTTCAGATTTTTATTTGTAAAAAATCTTGAACACCACATATCATTTTCCTTCCACTTCACAATTATGCAATACTTTGTGTTGGTCTATCACATAAGATCCCAATAAAATACATTAAAGTTTGTGGTTGTAACATGACAAAATGTGAAAAAATTCAAGGAGTATGAATACTTTTGCAAGGCACTGTAATAGTGAGCCAAACATAGTGTTTTAATTTGATATTAATACTCCAGCATGTCTACTACCACCTCACAATGTCTGACATACAGTGGGTACGGAAAGCATTCAGACCCCCTTAAATTTTTCACTCTTTGTTATATTGCAGCCATATGCTAAAATGATTTAAGTTCATTTTTTTCCTCATTAATGTACACACAGCACCCCATATTGACAGAAAAACATAAGTATTCAGACCCTTTGCTGTGACACTCATATATTTAACTTGGGTGCTGTCCATTTCTTCTGATCATCCCTGAGATGGTTCTACACCTTCATTTGAGTCCAGCTGTGTTTGATTATACTGATTGGACGTGATTAGGAAAGCCACACACCTGTCTATATAAGACCCTACAGCTCACAGTGCATGTCAGATCAAATGAGAATCATGAGGTCAAAGGAACTGCCTGGAGAGCTCAGAGACAGAAAAATTTCTGCTGCACTTAAGGTTCCTAATCCTAAGGTTCATAATCCTTAAATGGAAGACGTTTGGGACGACCAGAACCCTTCCTAGAGCTGGCCGTCCGGCCAAACTGAGCTATCGGGGGAGAAGAGCCTTGGTGAGAGAGGTACAGAAGAACCCAAAGATGACTGTGGCTGAGCTCCAGAGATGCAGTCGGGAGATGGGAGAAAGTTGTAGAAAGTCA